CTAACAATGCTCAGGAGGATTGTACACCAAGGGGCAACCAGTGCTTGTGATACTAACCTGGAGCTTGAAGAGGCAGGGACCAGTAGAAAAGGCATATGCTAATGGAGAAAATTAGAAATTTAAGCCAACAAGATGTTACTTAACTCAGTTGATGCCACTCTCACCTCTGGGTTAGACGGTTGAATGTTTATCTTGCACTCAGAGTTTCGGACTCCAGGGCTAACAATCAAGGCTAATAATCGAGTGCAGTGGTGGAGTAGTATTGTATTTTAGGAGGTGCCGTCCTTTTGATGAAATGTTAAATCAAGATCTAGTGTGTCTATTCGGATGGACGTTAAGGATCCCTTGGCACAATTCCAAAAGAGAGTGGAGTCTGAATTACAATGGTCAAAATAAATCAGTCACGCATTTCATGGCTGTATTTGGATCTTGCTGTGTTTGTGCACAAGTGTAGTCACTGCATTTGACAGAGGCTTCCTGTGAAGTCCTTTAAAATGTTTCAAAGTCATAGGCATTATTTCAAATGGGAGAATTATTATTTTTTTCGGGCCTGTATGCACCTTCTATCTTTGTGCCCATTTAGCTTGCTTTGATTCTATTGCTTTTTCCCCCTGTAATTTCACAATGTCTTTCTTCAACAATTTTTATTGCCTGAAATCAAAGCAGCATTTAATTTTCAATAGGCAGAATCAAAAATCTGAAAGATTTACTGAACTCGTATTTTAGACCCCTTGCAATGTGGACTTGAATTTACTTGGTAGTTTCCTCAGGTCTTTTTTTATTATAGTATGAATTTTGTTTGTGGCAGTCATAAAACAAAATTACATTTTCTTGTTTAGGGTCATCAAAAACACAGTATTGCAGCATAGTCCTGGGAATTGATGTTTTAAGCACGGTGTCCATAACTTAATCCCTATCTTCCTTCTCCTAGCTGTTTCTAGCATCGGATTGTTTTATGAGGGACAAACTTACATTTTGAGGAAGCACATTTTTAAATTTAATTTAATTTTGTGGGGAGACTTCATATTAAAGTGTATCAAATCTTTCTAGGAACCTGAGAACTGACAAAGTTTTGAGCAATTGTGTTTTATCATCCTTTCTACAAATAAGATCAATAATTTTTCACTTTTCAAAAAAATCATCACTTTCCTGATTGTTCTGAAGATTATATTTTTATTTAAAAATTGTGTTGCTACCACGTGCAAGAAATTCTGCCTTACAAGAATGTTTTGTACAGGTGCATGTTGAGGTTTCTAACAAGAGCTGAGGAGAGATAGTGAGAAGTTGTCTTTTTGGAATATTGAGATTCCTTTTTTATTTTTTCCCCCTTCTTATGGGTCTCATTATCCAATACTCTGGATGAATTGTTCTGTGCCCTCACTTCAACCTATCTTTACAGTCTTCTCCAGTTCATTTCTTCTGATGCATCAAGCAAGGCTGAGTCATCAGCCACTACACCTCTGTCCTCTTCCAAAATTATTTCATCTTAACAACAACAACTTGGATAAGAGCGCTTTATTGTAATGGATCCCAGGGCCGAGCCAGGGGGAGGGGGGAAGATGACCAAAGGCGCGGTCGAAAAGAAAGATCTTCAGCAGAGACCTGAAAATAGGAAGAGAGGGAGCGAGACAAAGGGAGTGAGGAAGGCAGTTCCAGAGCCTCGGGGCATAGTGGCTGAAGGCACGGCCGCCGAGGGTGGAGTGGAGGACCTGGGGGATGAGGAGGAGGCCTGACCCGGAGGAACGAAGGCAACGGGTACTGTTTTGAGGAGAGAGGAGGTCAGAGAGATAGGGGGGTGCAGAGGAGTGCAGGGACTTGAATACAAGAATTCAATACTTGGATCTTACTATCTCTCGCTCTGCTTTAAAAATTCCTATTAAGTTAATCTCCTCATTGCAACCTTTGGTTATCTCATAAATTTGTGCCAATTTCTCATTGTTGAATACTTTGAAGTGTCAGCAGTACTTGTTTCCTTCTCTCCTTGCCCTGTCCCCAAGGCTCCATGATAGTCACTCCAGCCAGTGGATAATGTGCGTGAGATGATTCTCCCCTTCTTCCTCCATTTAACCACCACTTGCCCAAAATATTGCCCCCTCCTTTAAGAGTTTTTTGTTTTGCTTATTTTCTTTATAATAGTAAATAACTGCATATTGTAATGAATACTTCCTTTGCAACTTATTGAAAGCATCTGACAAAATGTGAATTTCTTCACTTTAAAACATTTTCTTAATTTTCCAAAGTTTTTAAATCAATACTGCTGCAGTACCGTAAAATTGCATTTTACAATTTATAATCCTTTGATGCCCCCACATGGTGAAATGCTTTATTACATTAAAAAATATACATGAAGAGATAGCCTCCAGAAGTAATGACATGAAGTGAGAGGAACTTTTAATATTTTCGTTAATGGAACTGTTCTAGTTTCAGTATGTTTTGACTATTAAGGTATTTAGCAATATTTTCAGTCTAATTAATTTCCATTGGATGCAAAATTTTCAGGGGTCAGATTGTACCTGAATACATTCCTGTGACCGTGCTTAAAGTTACTTTCCCTTTCTCCATGTCCTGGTTCAGTTTAAAGGTCCACCATTGTTTAAGCGCTCTAAGATACTATCCTGCATGATGGATATTACAGTATATAACTGCAAGTTGTTGGTGTTGGTAGTAGTTATGTTGTTGGTTATAAGTGACCTGAGGATGTTGCAGTTGGAGGTCACTGAATAATTGAGCCAGACCTCTGTGGCGTACTTGGTAGTCCGGATCCTGAGTTAGGCGAGTCCGCAATAATCCAGGGCACTGCTAATGACAGCACAGCCAGCGTGGCTCATCGGCAGGACCTGGAAGGGCAGACCAGCCACTGGGGGCAGGGAATTATTCCACACAACTCCTGTTAACCCTATAAGCCCAAACCTTAATGAATAGGGTGGTCCTAGCTGGACAAGCAGTGGGAAAGCTTGCCTGACAGCAATATCAATCGAAAGCTATGCGGCTTTAGCTGGTTAGTCTCCAGCAGTAGCCACAACACACACTCTGGGTTCCCCAAACCTTGGCTCTTGCCAACCTGTGCCTGATACTTACTGAAATTAGGTAAGCAGGATGCATCCCTCCAGGGAGAGAGAGCACATTCCACTCCAACAATCTATCTCTGGGATTTCCATGTGTAGGTGGGGATGCATGGGAAATCTCAGTTTAGTTTGGATATTCTTAAGCATGGTGATGGGTTTCCCCATGGGTCAGACACCCGGCTGACCAAAAAGATTAACCAGAAGCAAGAACCTTAACTGACTTTCTCCATTTAGTCCATGGCCACAGAAGCCAATTACAGCCTCCTCTAGTTGAGGTTAGACAATGTACCACAGAGTGCAATTTGAATCTGCAACATCCTCATCTGTGTGGCCTGCTGCTGCACAAGGTGGTGGGTCACCCACAATGAAATATTGACATTTGCATTGAGTAAATGCTATCCTTTTTTAAAAAAAATGAACTCACCAAATAATTCATTTGTTTTTATAATAGTTAGCAGCTAATCTTAATTCAGAAACTTTTAAATCTACTTCCTGTACTTGTTTTTTGTTGCCATAGGTGAGTTTGTGGCCCTGCCAAACTTTTACCAGTGCACTTCAATCTGGCCTTTAATTAGACTATAGCATCTAGTGATCAGAGAATTAACCGATGAAGTCTCTTATAGTTGTCTTTAAATATTGTTATCACAACTAAATTAATGAATTCCAAATTTAGATTTTCAACTAATTCAAATTGGTATTTTCATGACTGTTGGAAAGTACAGTGCTTTTTCTATTAAAACTTGTAATTAGAGCTCAAGTATGTAATGATAATTAAAAAATTGTTTAAGATCTCCTCTATGATTTACAATATCTTGTCTTGTGAACATTGGTGATTGAGGTTACACACTAACACTCCTAATCATCCTCAAATTGGGTATAACAACAATGTGGTCACTCAATCCACGACTGTTTGTGGGACACTGCTGTGTGCAATTGCCTGCCGCGTTTCGTCCACAAACACACAGTCACTGTACTTTACACTAAATCCTGTGAAACGCTTTGAGACAGCTCGAAGACGTGATAAGGTGCTATATCAAATGCAAATGATTATTATTATTTATTAGCATTACCATTAAGCTAATTTGTATATCGGACATTTTCGTAAGTCTTGATTCTGCATGCAATAGCATTGCAGCAGTGGGAATAGCAGATGGATATCTTAAATTCCATGAGATTAGGTTAATATGTTTAAATTTTATGTATGTCAGTTCGTACCAGGATAAAGCAAAGAATAATTTTTTTTGGTAAATTGTGGAAGTCCCAGTGCTGTGCCTTTTCTTCACAATGTGGAGTGGCTTCCATAGTTCTGGAGTAACAGGTAAACCACTGGATATATGCAAGTTTTGCATGTATGAGATTGTTTTAAAGTTGTATTTTGGCTGATAACCGGTGTCTGGGGAAGACCCATAATGCGATGAGAAACAGACAAACATTTAGATTAAAGAATTGGCAAGCATCACTGCCAGATCCCTGCTGGGCACAGAAAAACAAATTCAGGTGGGTTTCAGCACATCTTAGTGTGGCTGCCAACACTGTGACTATAATCAGGAATGTAAAGTCCCCATGGATGGAAAGTCAAAAAAACTGATCAGAAACGTTCAATTATATGGATTTGGAGTGTAATAAAATGGAAATGAAATCTGCAGAGACAACTCTTGCAGTGGAAAGGTGTTTGTTATTGCACTTTTACCATGAGATACCTGTTCAGTAGGAATGTTAAACCAATTCCATTTGTAGGTACCATTGGCAATAATGAGGGAAACGAGGCTAAAGTGTTTCTTGTTGGCAATAAAATAAGAATCCATTACTTTTTATCTTGTGTGCCCATTTCTATAGGAACAGCACTTCAACTATAATAAAAATGTAATTTCTCCCTGAGTTAAATGGTTTGCTGTTAGTTGATAACTGCAGTGATAAATTATTTTCTATTTTCAGATTTGAAGAGGGAAGCAAGCATCTGTCATATGCTGAAACATCCACACATTGTGGAACTACTGGAAACATACAGCTCTGATGGCATGCTATATATGGTCTTTGAATTGTAAGTATATAGTATTTTATGCTATTTTGATGTTATTTGATGCCTTTTTAAATGGTATTTTAATTTTATTTTTCCCATTTTCTTCTTTAGTTTGCAAACTTCCTCAATCCCATATGGGTGGTTACTGGGTAACCAAACTCTCTATTATGTTCAACAGTTTCAATAGGGTAACCAGTCCAATTTCAGTCAGGCAATGACATTTTTCTCTTAATTCCCCAAGCTGCTATGACTATCTTCCTATAGTAGCATTGTTTACTGCTGACTTAATCTTAATCCCTGTTCCTGTTTTCTCTATCGCCCACCGTTCTTTTATGCCTTCTTTGCTCACTCTTTCACCCTTTCTCGCTCTCTTCTTTCCTCTCTCTCTCTCTTACTTACTCACTTACACATACACACACTCACTCATATACACACACTGCCCCTCTCACCCACTCACGTCCCTTCTCTTGTATTGTCCCTATGTCACACCTGCTGCCCACACACCCACAGACTTGATGGATCAAACAGTCGGTTTCTGTACTGCAACATATAATTTGTTTCTCCTGTCTACCCCCTCAAATAAATCCCACAGCCTCAGCCTGATTGCGGGGACTGCTTCTATTAACCTGACCTTTTTACTTTCTTCAATCTTTGACAACTCATCAGTAACTCTTCAGTAAAGCTGTATTCTGTATTTAAACTGATTTTTAAAAACGCTGATGTTCAAATGTCAGCATCATTAGAATGGCCTAAGTGCAGGTTAAGCACGCTTCCTCAGTTTGGGCTGCATCTGATGACACATGTTTCAAATTATTTCTGCCCTCCCAGCGTATGGGGTTGATGAGATGGATTCAAAATGCTCTCTTGAAACTTTGAATAACTTTTCAAGGCTTACGTGGCATATGATCAGCACTGATGGTGGGGGAAAAAGCAAGATAACCTCAGATATTTGTTGGTATTTTTTAATAGCAAATTAATTCACAGAGTATATTTAACCCCACCTTTGTCTTCCCTGTGTTGAAGAGGAGCTTTCAGGCCTAAAAGTTTGCAGAAACATTGTTTCAATCGCCATTGAAGGCATAAAACTTTACTTGTTGACCTTTAAGATGAGCTTTCATCAATTCCTGTCGAGCCCAAGGTTCCTTAAAAAATTGGACTTTTACTCATTATTATTATTATTGCAGACAAGTGATTTAAAAACCTTATGCTGGGAGACCAATTGTGGTTTGAAGTGTATAGAACAGGTATACGTTACTTTCTCTTCTACTTCCCAATTTAAATAGTTTTAAAAAGAGCACAGGGAGATATAGAATCTTTCAGTGCATAGAGTTCCTACCTTTTGTACAGTGTTTCAAAAATCATGTCAGCCATAAATTAGAGCAGGAGGTCAAGGGAGAAAATGTTAGTAGCTTAAAATAATATACTTGATTAGCCTGTTACTAAATTATGTTGGTATTGTGGGCCATGACACCAACAGACCATCTAAAAGAACAGAGAATGCTAATTATTTCTCACTTGTATATCTTAAATTCACAAAACCATTGCAAGTTTGGACACTACCAGAGGTTCCTTTGATGTAGATCAGGTAAGATTGAAGCAAGCAGGCCACCATCAGACATTCATTCTTTCTTCACCTCTTTTGTACCTGACTTGCTGTCTTCAACCCCACAATAATAATAATAATAAATAATAATAATCCTTAATGTCAATGTTTTCTGTTACTTATGCTTCTTTTATACTGTTGGGAGCAAATCAAAACCTGATTTATACTTCCCACAGCATACTTTTCTCCTGATGAATAGTAGTGATTTTCAATGTCCTCTGCAGAGGTCCTTATGCAAGTAAGTAATACAAGACGTACTGATTGAATATTATCTCTTGTGGTGTCAGTAAACTGATTTTATTTTGTGGGCTTAGTACTGTAACACTGATGGTGATTGACCTGCCGATTGATACATTACTTGCACAGGATGGCCCAGCAATTGTCCATATAACTTTAACCCATTGCTTTGTGAATATGCTTAACAGTTTTTTATTCTGAAGGAAATAATGGACTATTAAATCTCCTTTTTTTGTTTCATTTGCAGCATGGATGGTGCAGACCTCTGTTTTGAAATTGTGAAACGGGCAGATGCAGGTTTTGTTTACAGTGAAGCTGTAGCCAGGTATGTATCTGATTATTTAATGTCTAAATATATATTTATCAATAACAGTCCAATTTTCAGATAGATTATATGTGTTCGACTTAATTTACTATTAGTTTAAAATAATAGTTTGGCATGTTGGAGCACCAATGAGTTGTGCCAGTTTTTTGTTTTCATGATTCCACAGCCTTCCAACCGTAGATGGGTTGGCATCTTTCTCAAAGCAAGACACCGACTGGAGAGAAGGGCGCAAATTACAATGAGCAGGTCTTATGTGTTTCTTTGTGATGAATTAAGGAATGACATACTTAGCTTTAGAATAGGAAACTTTCTCATGTTGGCACCTGCTGTGTAAAATGAACCAAAATACAAAAGTGACTTGATATACATTTTTGTCATGTCTTATAATAGTTCTACAGTGGCTACTTTTGATGTGTCATTTTGATGTATAATTAACTAATTATACACTGGATTGCTAGTGACCCTCTTTTTTACTCACCTTTAATTCTCTTTGTGCTGTAAGCTTTTCCCCTAAGAAAAAAGTTCTATGTATTTATTTTGAAGGAAAACTAGTCTTTAAATGAATATTTTTGGTGGTTAAAACTCTTTATTGCACTTGGTCTTAAAGACATGTTCTAACTTAAGTACTTAATGTTTATGAAATTGGGAGGTGTCCTAAGGAAAACTGGTATCAATAATGAAGTTCTACATAAATGCTGTCTTCTCAAGTCAGTGAGACAGAATTTTGAACGTATCATTCATCAATTCTAATAGTTATAAAGAGTAAATAGGTCTCATTTGATTACATATATATAGATCTGTGATAGCAACTGTAACATACAAGTAGAATACAAAAGAGATCATTTTTCAAGTTTTCATTTTTTTGTAACGGAAGATCATAATTTTCAAGAAATGTTTCTGTCAAAGAAAGTAATTACTTTCCAGTAATAAGTCTGCTAAAGGTTTTATTTAATTGGTGGACTTCATCGTACGAGCTAGTAGAAAGTGGAACATTTCACTTCAAGAAACGTATGATGTTTTGTTTCTTGTTATGAATCAAGGGTGGTAGAATAGCTTGCATTTTTTGGTATGGGTTATGAGTCAACAACAGACCAACCACATTACCACCAATGATGAGAAATAGAAATGCCAAATGGGCTTCACAGAGGACACTTAAATTATGAATGTATTTTCACAAGAGGGGCTTTAGATGAAATTAAATGAGCCAATCGGCTTTGGCCCATTCTGATCTTATTCCACAATGATATTCAATGATATTCATTCCACCATCTTTCCATCAGAGCATCGGTTGTATTTTTCGTACCTCGTTCCCTTCCATCTATCCTGGTTCTCACCTTCAAAGCCCTCCATGGCCTTGCTCCCCCTACCTATACGACCTCCTATCTCCCTACAAACCTGCCCGCTCCTTCACACCCCCCACCTTCAGCCACTCTGCCTCCACCCTCTGGAACTTCATCCTGCAGGGCCCATCCACTTCGCCCCCTCCCTTGCCTCCTTCAAGACCCTCTTCTTCGATCCTTCATGCCTTCGATCACCCTCCTTCCGCCCCCTGCCCTCCACCCTTCCCGATCCATACCCCAAACTCGGGTCGGAAACAATGATTATCCAACGCCTTGGGATGTCCTCCCGACGTGAAAGGGGCTATACAAGTGTAATGTTGTTTTTGTTGTTAATTAACTTCGCTAAAGCAATACTTCCTTGTATTTTAACAACTCTGACAGACTTCTTGTCCTGCTGCCTTGGAACGTCTGAAAGCTTTTGTCTGGTTTGACTTATCTTGTACGCCTCCACAATATCTTATTGAGGTTTATTTAGTTATTTCTCATCTCTCGAGCACTGGAAATCTGTCTTTTTATTCTCTGTACACTAGCTCAAAAGCCTGGGCAGCCCCTTCTATCACAACGATCATAGCTGCATACAGTGTTCCATGTGTGGCCTGATTACTGCATAGCTGTAATAGCTTGAATATAATCTGGTATCTGAAATCAACTGACTTGGCTATAGAGACCAGGGTCCTCTTTGCCTTGTTTATTGTTCTCGAACATGGTGTCAATTAACGCCCCCTTATTCTTGTTCAGCCGACATTTTACTCTTATTTTTTTACTTCTTATGTGGAGTACCTTGCATTTATTTGTATTGAACTTTATTTGCCTGTCAACAACCCAGATGAATACCATGCTAAGCTCCCTTTGTAAGATCCTACTTGCCTCCTCTGATTCTGCAGCCCACTCTTCTACCTCCTCTTCCCCCCCCTCACCCCGCCCCGCAAGATTGATATCAAATATAATCTTTAAATTAAATTCCCTTGCACTGAATCTGAAAATTGATATAATAGGGGAATATTAACTTTATGCTCCCCATGTCTAGTTTTATAAAATGTTACCTTTAAGGTCCTGGCTAGCATTCAAAAACTAAAATCTTGGAACTGTCTATATGTGTTTGTATATTTATTATACATTCTGTTTTGTAATAATAATAATCCTTGTGTTTGATATAGCACTTTTCACATCTTCTAGACATCTCAAAGAGCTTCACAGAATAAGCTGTAAAGTGAATTGACCGTATATTTGTGAGCGAAACGCGGCGGCCAATTGCGCATAGCAGTGTCCCACAAACAGTCGTGGATTGAAAATGACCAATTTATTATTGTTTTTGTTTTGGAGGGATTATTATTAGGCATGTGGAGTAAGGAAACTTTCCCAAGGTTTCGCCCTGTCTGGAATTGAACCCAGGTGTCTCACTTGCAAAGCGAGTGCTCTAACCACTGAGCTACAGGACTCTAGTTACAGTCTAACCAATGCTCACCTCAGAACTTCAGATTTTAGCTAAACATTGAGATTCCTCTTTATATACTCCTCTTTAAGCGCTCTGAGATGCTACCCTGCGTGGAGGGCAATATATAAGTCCAATTTGTTGTTATATATATATATAACTAGCTGTACCCTGGTTACAGCTACGCTTACAACCAAAGGATCCAATATGTAGATTGACACACAGACGTTTCATCTTTCTCTGTACTCATCTGGGAGGACTCCTGTGGGAGGACTTTGTTCCTCAGTTTCATTTAATGGGCCTTCTCTCTTTTGTCTCGCATTTTTACTTATCGTTGAAAGGTTTGATTTTCGCTTAGGCATCTTAAATGATAAATATAAAAATATAATTTATAATCACTGAGACGTCCTTCTGACGTGAAAGTTCACTTTAAAATTATAATTTTGTTGTTATTGCCTCAGCTTAGCTTCATCTGTGTTCTTTATTTTGATCCCCCCGCCGCTTGGCTACATGCGTGCTCTGTGACGCAGGATGCCACAATGCCACAGTTAGCTGCTGCTGTCACCCAGTGTAACTGCAGTGCGTGCGTACATACGTAGGTGCTCTGTGACGTACACCGCCACTGTGCCATTTTGACTTGGCGCCAATTAAATAATAATAATAATAATAATCCTTGCATTTGATATAGCGCTTTTCACGTCGGGAGGACGTCCCAAAGCGCTTCACAGAACACACGTAAAGTGAATTGACTGTATATTTGTGGGCAAATGCGGCAGCCAATTGCGCACAGCAATGTCCCACAAACAGTCGTAGATTGAAAATCTAATTAAATTAAATTTAATTTAATTAAATGTAATTGAAGTGAAAAACGCAAAACTTAAATAACTCATTAACGATAAGAGATATCTGAAAACAAATATGCCCATGTCACTCCCAGGAGCAAGACCTTTCCGATCAGGTATAATGGCTCCTTATTGAAGAACAGATCAATTTCAGGTTCCAGCACTGACTGGTCGGCAGGAAGTTGCTTTCTACAACTAAATGTTTGACTGGCTCTGACCTTCTGTATGTCCCTCGTGCCCTCCATTCCACCATTGGTGGCCACGCTTTCAGCCACTATACCCCGAAACTCTGGACCACTCTTCCTCTATCCCTCTATCTTGCCCCTTCTTTCCCCATCTTCAGGTCGGACCTGAAGACCTTCCTATTCAACCCTTGCCTACAGTGACCTCTCCCTCCCCCTAGCTGGACGTCATGCTCTGCCACTGACAAGCCTTCTGGGACGCTACCCTGCATGAGGGGAGCTGTATAAATGTAAATTGTTGTTACAGGAGCAGGGAGCCGGTCTTTCCACCTGTTATTAGGACTCAGTTGCCACCATCTGAGTGCTGCTAACAGGTGGAAAGACCGGCTGGCTTCCTGCATGCGTATCAACAACTTCAACAATAACTTGCATTTATATAGCATGGATCCCTGACTGTTCAGCACCATGGGACGTCCTCCTGACGTGAAAGGTGCGACACAAATCTAATTTGTTGTTGTTCACATAGGATAATATCTTAGTACACTTCAACTTAGTACAGTGATATCAGCATTGATGTCATGCACCTGAATTCACGGAAGCACTGACTGGCAACCATTGTATAACACAACCCGTTATAATGTGCGGTCTGATTTTATGAATCCAAACCACAAAGTTAAAATAGTGGCTGATTGAATACATTTGAAAACTGCCAGTTACTATGATAGAAACTTGTTCTAAGGTGCTGTTATAATGCAAGTTTCGCTTTGGGGTGCAGTTTCAGACAGCTTCCCACAGGCTAAAAAGAAAAAAGGTCAACTTCTGGTTCATCAGATCACTTCCTGTGCGCTACACACAAGTTGGCCAGCTGTCTGTGTGTATGGTGCAGCGAATGGAATGGAAGTGGTGATCATACCCCAGTATAAATAACCCGGATATCAGCTTCAGTACCCTGCTGTCCTTCATACATGGAGTCCCGTAGCTGAGTGTTTAGAGCACTCGCCTCACAAGGGTTTGATTCCCAGCAGGGAAGTTGGGCAAGTTTCCTTACTCCACACGTCTCTGTTTACCTAGCAGTAACTAGGAATCCGATTGTTAGTCGATTGCCGGATCGCTTTTCTGGGTGGTAATAATTGGTTAAGTTTTTTTATATTAATAATAAATTGGTCACTCAGTCCATGACTGTTTGTTGGACAATGCTGTGTGC